TTCTTTCTTTCTTTCTTTCTTTCTTTCTTTCTTTCTTTCTTTCTTTCTTTCTTTCTTTCTTTCTTTCTTTCTTTCTTTCTTTCCTGGGGTTTATATGCCATTTCAATACAGCAGGCCTCCGAGCATTTTATATACCCTTCTTGTAATAAAAGGGTTAACACTCAAAAATAGTATAATAAAATAAGAAACCACAGTAAGAACTAATGTTGAAAAAGTTATTCAGAAAGAAACTAAGGCCACCAAAAGCAAAAATATCCAAATGCAAGGAAGGGTGGGTGTTCTAACTTACATTAGATCCCTTCCCAGAGCTTGCTTAAAAACCCAGGTTATAACACTATCAGAGTGTTACAAGTGTTATAGTATTAGTTGACAAGTATAGCAAGACTTCACTTTAAGCAAACAAAACAGCTGAAAATGAAGCAAGGCCGAACAAGCAGATTTATGTCACAAATTAATTTAGGCAATTATTTTATTGCATCCTACTTCTCTACAAAGATTCCTCCCGAAAACCTAGTTTCCTGTGACCTTCCACAAAATGGCCTTTCTGCAAAGCCTTTATTCTCTTCTCACTCTCTTCTGGAACAATTTCTCATGGCACACATTTGAGAGTTTTTTCTCTCCAGACCAACTGTTCCATCCATGAGAAGATACTTTCATGGGGTAAATAGCAAAATAATACAAAAATGCCTGGGAGATTGTTTTGAATTTTGCTAGCCATCATTTTATGGAAGCCTCACATGAAACATACGGAAATGCGTTTTACAAGACTCTCATCCTAAAGGACTTGCATTACATAGTCGGATTGCAATGGGGGAGCAGATATTGAGAAAGAAATGGAATAGCTTTAAAAAGTGTGAATTACTTTACATGTGAACTGAGTGCAAAACATAGTGTTTGATAATATAAGAATTCCAGATGTGAGCCGCACCCCACTAAATTAAATGTTATGGTTCCCACTGATTTTAATGGTTCTATATTAGATAATTATGTATTGGAATGAACATTTGCTTGACTCTGGCACCTGATAAAGATTGTTAAAATACAGCTGTACTGATATATTTAACACCTACTTGATTTTTTGCATGCATTCTCCTAAGCCAAGAAGCAATGATTATATAAAATGAAAGAATTCCGTGTTAATGCGTATATCTGAAGACACATTCTAAAATCTGTAAGAATGAAAAATAACGTAAAGGAAGAAGGGAGATCAGTAGGAGGGAAATCAAGGGAAAACTGGGAAGAATTTCAGTTTACAAAACAAATCACTTCATCATGTTATCTTACTTATCTTAGAACAGAGGTGAACAGATGGAAAAAGTCTGTTTCTATTTGTTTTGACAAGATACAATAAAGGAAAAAAGCGTATCCAGTTAAAACAGCAACAACAAAATAGCTGCAAGCTTAAGCAACATCTTAAAATAACAGAGTGACGTGTAGAATAGCTTCTTACAACCGGATTAAAAGCTGATCAAAGTCTGCTTTGAGTGCTTAACTGAAACTGAAAGTGGAAAAATACAGTACAGAGAAATGGCCTAAAAGGGGTGGGGGGGATTGCTTTCTGCAGACATTTCATTGGGAAAGCATGAAAAACAGGTTTTTGAAGAGAAATTTCAATTTAGCTGTTAAAGATTTATCACTTTAGTTTGCCTATTCTTCTGCAGCTTAATTCTGATAACTTTTGTTCTGGAAACTAACTAAAAAAACCAGCTTCTCTCTAATTCCATTCTCCATTACATATAACTAGAATATTACACAAAGAGGCATTTCCGTCTTGGATTTATTTCTCTATGTCATTCATTCCAATTGGTAGTAAAACCCCATATGTATGCACAGAAAATCATCAAAATGCCTTTACTGCTTGTTCTTATAGTTACCGAAGCCTGAATTTTCCACCTGCAGTTTGTATCGGCTGAGAATCACTACTCTAATTACTTATTATAAATGCTGATATTTTTAATTTTTTAGAAGCCTTTTTCTTGATCTAGATAGTAAATCCTTGTACACACATTGCTTAATACATCAAGCAACTTTTATTTCCTAAGTTTAGATAAATCTGGCAGAAGATTTACCTGCATCTGTATAGCTGCATTCTTTATTTCAAAATGATTGCAAGTGTTATGGGTAATTACTAGCTGTATTCTATAGGTAATTTATGTATGCATTACTTCTACATATTTGATGCAATATGCATTTACCTCGTACTCAGAATTTTTGGTCCTGATGAGAAGCAAACTGCATTCAGAAGAATTCAAGGAAAATAGTTCATTTCTTCACCAGGATTTAGTTATTGTGTTCCAACAAGGTTTGGAAACCTGTTTAAAGGCTACAGGACATTGCATACTATCTTGTCCACAGCTTTCCCACAGACACTAACTCTATCTATCTCTCTGATTTATAAGGCCACCCAACTCAAACAATATGACTCTGGGTGGCATACTCAAACAATCCTGTTGAATTGGAAGCATGCCTTCTCTGCTGCAGCACCTGCCCTCTGGAAGGAAATCTCTCCAGAGATTCATGTGGCTGCCAGCCTCTTGGCGTTCTGGAAGGCCTTGCAAACCTGGCTGTTCTTCCAGACCTTGGGTGGATGTGGCCCCCCTTGTTAGATGTGTTCATATATCTATAGTCTATTGTTTGGATGGGTGTTCTTTTGTTTATTTATATACAGTAGTCGTGTCTAATACTGTGAGCCGCCCGGAGTCGTTTTGGAGTTGCATGGCACCAAAATCTAATTAAATAAAGGAAACTGGCACACTGCAAAGCAAAGTACTAACTTCCAGAATCATCTTCCTTTTGCAGAAAGTCCTCGGTTTATAGAAAGCCCATAGTTGAGTGGTTGCAATTCAGTACATATTTGGTTTGTAAATGTGTCTGCTCTCTTCCAAAGATAAACTTAAGAGATTGATAATAAGTACCTTGGAGAACAAGAGAGAGAGGCAGGGGAGCAGTCTGACCAATTCGTTTTCTGTTCCAGGATGAGCCATTTGAGACCCATTTGGGTAATGAGCAAACCTCTGCCCCTACTGGCAACCTTTTCTTTGAGTGCTCATAATAGGCTCTCAACAGGTCATGTATGACCCATTGCCTAAAAGAGTAAATATGGATAAGCTGCAGCCTTTATAGTTTCGTTATGCCCTTGGAATACTACTCCTCATTTACCTCCAATGACTGTGCTACTACTGCAGGTGCAGCCACTACCAGCTTTGCCATACAATTAGACTGTACTAATATTTCCTGTGACCCTTCCCAATGTAGCCAGTCAACTGATGAAATTGCCAAGGAAATCACTGAGAAAACTGCTGGTGTTGCTGTCAACTGTAAAGCCTTAAGGCCTCTGCAAGAGCTTTTAGAGTTGAAACGTGGCAATTCAAAGGTCTTTTAAGACCTGCAGCAGCTACTATTGTATGATGCTGTCCCTTCAGATTGAGACAAAGAGCACCTTTGGAACATATTAGAAGATAAGTGGACTAGCTATCAGCTGATGAGAACAAGGATTATGGATGCTGGCTGTCTGAAGTAGCAGCCAAGGGAAAACCTAGGCTTTTTACTCCAGGTATCTGCTGGAAGTGTCAGCTGAAAGCCATAAGGCACTAGTTCATACTTCACACTAAGCCAAAAACAAATTGCAACTTGAGCTACGATTACAAAGACTCTTTTACTCAATCTCTCCTAACCTCTATTGCAACCAGTAAATTTATCTTTTATCTTTTTATTTTTTATCTAAAAGGAAGAAAGAGCTAAGGGCCTCTGAAGATAAATATGCCTTCCCTTTCCCTTTTTTTTTTTTTTTTACATTTTTAGAATAAATTTAGAAATGGTTACACTAGACAATGCTGAAAGTGTATCTCTTATATATTTAAATTTATCATTTATATCATTTTGATCCATTTGTAAGTATTTGAATACAGAAAAATCAGTAATGGAGTTCTCTTTATTCCAAGTCATGATAAAAAGAGATTTGTTCGGTGTGTCTGCTTTAACCTTACACATGTGTTCTAATGAATCACTTTCAGTTAGTGAACATCTATTTCAAAATATCTCTTAGAAGCAGTCAAGTAAGTGATCATGTCACTATTACCTTGAAGGGTGGGATCTATTTTTTATTCATTCATTAAACAACCTTAGGTACTTCCTGCATTGTTCAAGATTGAATGTTTTCTATTCAAATTAGGCAAGTATTATAGGCAAGTATCACTGAAGATTCAATGCTTCAAAGATAGACTAATATGTTCTTTATATAATATATAATATATATAATAAATGAGCCATCTCTAACATAAAAATCAATAGCATAGTCTTAATTTGTGTGGTCCATGATGTCAATCTCATATAATTAAAAATATTAGCAGTTCTTTGCACCTGCTGAAAAAGAAAGTACATCAGAGGAAAAGGTGCTTAACTCTCATTGCTTCTCCTTTAAAATGTCCCCCTTTAAACTTCTGCTAGCTCACCACAGAGGAAAATGTACTTCAATAGGATAATTACATTATTTCCTCACAAAAAATTGTTGAATTTTTGTTTGTTCAGACTCCTGGACAGTTAGATGCTCCTTAATAACTATTAGAAATTGAACAAGGTAGATGAAATCAATATTATCTATTTATATGAGCTGAGGAACTATGAAATCAAATGTTCAGATTTTGTAAACCAGTGACAGTCTATTTTAAAAACTTTAAAACCTTTAATTAATTCATTAATTGATTGATTGATTTGTAAAGTCACTTAACTGTCACACAAAGTTTTGATCTTCCAATGTGGTTTACACAACCAAAGGTCTATTCTATATTTAATGAATATCTCAGGAATGTTTAATAAAAGTTGGTAATATTTTTTTTGTTAGAAATTTAAATTAAGTTTGGAATATCAATTTGTGTGTTTTGTTATTACTCTGTTTTGATCTGCCATTCACAGGAATGTCAGTATGATTTTACTGTTTTTCTTGGTTTAGGACCCTGAATTTATGAACACATGGACACTATGTGAATGGGAGATAGGGGCCAAACAAGTTATTATATAATTTTAACATGAGAAATGTACACCTGGTAGATTTCTGATATATATTCTTGTTTTGTTTATGCTTACATATTTTCACGCAATTCCTTAACACAAGTACATATTATATATTGTGCTTTTAGTCATTATCCTATTAACTGAAACTATTTTGTCTCATAACATTTGAATGTGATGATATTTTTTGAGCTTCATGAAAGAAAAACAATGATATAAAAACTTAGAAACTTATAATTGAGCATACAAAGAAACTTTAATCCCATTTTTAAAGGGAGTTCTAAATAAAAAAGTAATTAACAGAAAAGTTGCAGCAAGGATTTTGAGTCTAGATTTTTACAACTAGCAGGGGAAAAGCACCCAAAGATATGGTATGGTGAAAAGAACAGACAAACAGGAAAAAGTCAAAAGTAGGTTTTCCAATCTCACCATTTTGCTCCTTTTTAAAAGATATAGTATTGCTTCTTTATTATTCATGAATTGAAGCTGAGTTAGGTGAAACCAATCAGCATCTTTCAAAATTTTGCCTTTCATGATTCTTGGGCACAGCTGAAAGAAAATACACATGCATTTCTGAGGGTACCCAGGCTCCATTCAGGGTCTTCAGTGGGAAGCACTATCTTTGTTACTCCATTTGGTTAGCAAGTAATTAAAGACCAGGAGCAGGACCCATGGACTCCATCACTGCTATCTTATGCTGGTGATGTTAAGGAAAAAAATGAGGAAGCTCAAAAAACTTATCTGAGATGTTTCTGTGACGTGATTAATAAAATGTTGATGGGCCTGTAATGGTTATGTTTTATTGTTATTAAAGGTTTGTTATGTATAACTTATATAAAACCAGTTCCTGATCTCTGCTTCATGTTTTATTTCTACGTGTCAACGAACTTTGCAAAAATAGGGGATTTTAACAAAGAAATTATAAGAAGGAATGCCCATAAAAACTCCTGCAAATTTTAAAAGAGCATATTGCTTTTCACTTAAGAATATTAACTACATTTCACACTTACCTGAAGGTAATGGCATGGTCTCAGGGAGGGTTTGATTTCCTGATGAACTAGAGGCTTGTCTAGGTTAAGAGATGACTTCCGATAGGCTTCTTTAGCTTGGCTTACTGTAAGTGTAGACCAAGAGCTCCTTTTCATGTACTTGCCATCAGGGGTCATTGCAAGACCTTCACAAGCTGAACATTTCACATCATTGTTACTTTTTGAAGTCTTTAACGAGAGATCCCCAAAATGTCCCTGCACAGCTTCAGGATAGCAATGAGAGATATGGTCCACATGATGCCTATTTACCACACTAGGTGTTCGGTAAGTGCTATCACTGTCCAAGTTGTCATCAGAGCTCCACCAGCTGCTCATTCCAGTTTTATGCTTACTTTCAGGCTTTCGCTCTTTACTTTTACTTCTTTTACTATGTTTAGAATGATGTCCATGATGATGGTCATCACCTCGGCCATCTCCCTTTGCCCCATTTACATTGCTCTTGGAAGATCCTTCCAAAGAATGTGATTTTGTGAACAGTTTTTGGACTGAATGAACAAGGTGACGTATTCTACCAGGGCTTTCACTGCGTTGTTCAGCTGCTGTTGATGTCCTTTGGTACTGTAAAGTGTGAAAGCCATCCCTATGGAGAGGAAGTTGCTTCTCAAATTGATCCAGCAAGTTTGCAGGGATCCGGTTAATCTTAGTGTTTGCATGAGACATGGTGCAATCGTCCCTAGTATCGTAATGTGAGGTGTAATGCATTCTGGGGAAAGTGCTACTGGACATATGATCACCCATAACCATGGGCATCATCATACATTCTGAATGGATGGAGCTTCGTGGTGAGCAGCGATGGTGATCCATTGGGCAACTCTCAGTTGGGCTGAGAAGATATGATTGCCTTGACTCCTGGCCATGATGAAGATGATCGTGGCTGTGTTCACAATCTTCAGAGGATGCTAAACCACAAGTATGAGCAGAACATAGCTGTGATTGATTACGATTGCCAGATAATCCTTTCATGTTCCTTGAAACAGGAGAATATCTTTCCTCATTGAAGGACTGCTGAGTTGGAGACCATGAGTACGGCTGATCTGTTAGGGGATGGATAGAGAGATATCTGTCAGCTAGGACAAATATAACTTATATTTAAACTAAAATATATATTTAACAGTAACTTTATATAATACAAAGAAATATTGATATTTCATGGATGGTTAAATATTATGATGGTGGTTATTTAACCATATTATGGCTATGGTGGTTTAATATTAGCTCTAGCATCCATTATTGTCATGATAGTTAAATATTAATTCTAACATCTATCATTTATTTGTTACTTATTTTATTAGATTTAGACGGCTGCCTGACTCCAAAATTACTCTGGGTGGCTTACATAGTTAAAAAGAACAAAAAATGCCCAGGCAAAATCACCCCAATGCATTACAAAGAAAAAAAGAAAAAGAAAAATCACAATTGTTGGATAGTACAAGCAGGATGGTACAATTGTGTTCATGTCCTGCTTTGATCTGATCCAGCAAGATCTTTCTCACATTCATTCATTTGATCTTATTCCCAAATTTTAAATACTTAATTTAATTTCACTGGTTTTTCATCTGGATAATTATTTCAAATAGTTTATATGTTTGTGTTTCATTCTGCATGTGACAAAAAAATCAATGAGGCTATCAGAAGGTAGAACACCCTTCCCTCTGAGATCCAGCAGCCTCCTGCCCCCTTAGCCTTCCAGAAAGCCTTGAATACCTGGCTGGTTGGAGGTAGAGTGAGGCTGGAACTCAATAAATGTGTTTGTGGATGTATGAGGATGTGCTGCTTTGGGGGCACCAGACATTTTTGTGATGCTTGTTATTTTTATTGTTTGTAAATAGCCCATGACTACGGTACATAAGATAGGCAGCTATATAAGTCTAATAAATAAGGAAACAAAAAAATAAATGGTTCAGTTCAATATAGCTCTCTGTATATATTGTTGTTATTTTTACTTCCTGCTATTGGGAGGAAACCATCGGAAGAGCTGAAAGACCAGGTTAGGGACAGATTGTTATGGAGAAAATCTATGTGGTTGCTAAGAGTCGACGCTGAATTGATGGATCATCATCATCATCATCATCATCATCATCATCATCATCATCATCATCACAAAATATAAGACCTGCAAATAGAAGTAGAATGACTATGCCAAAAGGCGCCTTGGGTGCAATCCCAAAACTTCTGGAGC